CATGACAGGTATCGGTAGCCCTGCGTCAGCTGCGAGCACTCGTTGACAAAGTGGCACGCGAACAGGAGGTAGTTCTTTGGTGAGACGGCGAGCGAGTAGCGCATGAAGGTGGCGGAGTAGATGACAAGAGCGCCCGTCATCTGGCCCGAGATCCTGTACAAAGTCTACGTTTAGTAAAGATTCGCAGTCGTAGACACGATTTGCAGGCGATCCAGGCAGGGGGACTCACAGGTCGGGAGACTTTTGGGTGTCAAGAACGGCGGCCACGGGGATACCGAAGTTGGAGGCAGGACCCCAGAAATCTAGACCCAGGCATCAGTGCTTGCTCTTCTGATATGCGTCTTCTTCAGAAAGCTCGTCGAATTCGCAACTTAAAGGCGCGATCGGAGCCGCATGAGGATCCTCCGGATATGCCAACCACAGGCAGGGGCACCTCAACAGCAACAGCAGCAGCAGAAACGCCAGTGATGGATCGATAGCGTTCATTCCAGTGACAATCGCATCTCCTGGCCTCGTCCTTCACCCGGCGATGCGAGGTACACCAACTCAAGAAAATGTCCCAACGTACGCGTAGAGCAGAAGTAGTTCAGTGCCGGGTTCGCCCGGATCTTGGCATTGACAGCCTTGATGAAAGCAGCCATTGTGATCGTTTGGTCGGAGGGAGCGGCAAGTCGTTCAATCGGCCAGTCGTGATGTTGACGAGGTCGACGCGGACGACCTGGGGATTTGAGTTGGGAGATTGAGGTTGGAGATGGACGTTCTACTTGTTGGGGAGCTTGACTTTCCGAGTCGGAGCTTGGATCGGAACCGCTGTGCTGCAATTCGTGGAGGTGCGTGCGTTGAGTTTTTGCGGTTCAACGGAGATAGCGTCCATCCGGGGATAAGATGAACGTCACGTGCCCTTTCCTGAAGGCAGTGTCAGAGGACATACGGGATGATACAATGGCTTCATACTGCATTTTAATGCGACTCCTGGACTCAATGGCCGCATATGGTATATCTCGAAGCTATGAATTGTTGTTATTTCATATTTTAAAGAATGACATGTGTTTTGTGGGATGCTTAATTCGCAATATGTGCACCGAAGGCATGAAAATGAGTGTCGACAAAGTGACGGCACGGCTCTCACGAGCGGAATCAACAGATGCGCATCATGGTCGAGACAATGCGTAGCAACTTTCCATGTAGATGAAGTCATACCAAGACAACGTGTTTTTTTTTTCGTTCTTTCTGGGGTTCTTTTTAATCAATGCTCGCATGAGTCAATATGAACATGAGATGTTCAAAATATGGACGTTCACTAAATAATTATCGAAAGCAACCAATGTATTCATCTTTGTCCGACACCGTACTAACCAGCAGTCACAAGCCAACGTCTGAGTGACCCAATGGCGGCTTAAATAAAAGACTAACATGTCAAAGCTACAAACACCTCAACATGCAGCAGAGCTTCTGACACGCACTCATGAAGCAATACCACTCAGGTGAAACCACTGCCCAGTAGGCGACGAGGAGTGAGGGACCACGCAAGCCTCAGAACCAGGATGACTTGAGAGGTAACCATTTGCAAGAGCCTTGAATTATTTTGTTACCAAGCTCAGGGCCATTTCCTGATCTACGGAAAAGGCGACAACGACGAAGCACATTTGGATGGGGTTTAACGCAGCAACGGCCAATGCATGACCCTGCACCGTGTCATATACCCCCAAGCTCATCACCACGAAAATGGCAACGCCCAAAGCTCGAGGACCATCATCACGCAAATTTCAGTCAGTCATGATGCGGAAATCATGTTCATTTACCCAGCCTTCCAAGGTTGAGCCGCTCCTCTACAGATTCGCGTTTTTGTCCATCCGTCATGGTATTCTTCAATATCCCCAAACGCCAATGGTCATCATAAATCTGACGCGAGCGTACAAACGCCCGACCTTCCCGTTAGCGACACTCACGCATTACCTCCGAGGCGGAGGGTTGAAGCCAGGAGGACCGCCGCCAGGAGGACCGGGAGGGAAGCCTTGGGGAGGGAATGCGCCACCCTGAGGAGGGAATCCAGGGGGGAATCCACCAGGAAAACCCGGGGGAGGGGCTG